TCAATTATTCACTGTCTATACACACATTGCCGCGTCACGTTGTCACCCTCTTATATATACCAGCCTACCCTATCTAGTAAATACTAGAGCATTCCTGAAGGAACAAGATAGTTTTAGAAACTAGAGGGCGCCACACCAGTCACGTGACCTCGATGACGCAACACTATCCTGGCTATTGTGGGATATCATGCTTCATTTGACTTTCAAAAGTGAGGCCAGTGAAAGTAAACACAGAAACAGTAATGTTGAAATGTTTTAGAATCATTATTCAGATTAATGCCTAGCCCCAACTTCTCAAACCCCAACCTTCCCCAGAAATCCACTTCTCAAGCCATGCCTGTTATTAACCTCTATTGTTCTCTGAATCCCCAACTTTCAGTGGGCGGTCAGTCTTTGTTGCTAGGAGCACGTTTTTTAACTAAACCAATTATTGACTGTAACTTTCAGTACTGTGTAAGTTGCCACAAAGATTAGGGCTTAGATGCCATTTTCTATTACCCAGCTTCAGCTGTTTTTAACTTTGATCCTCAGCCGGAGCCGAGTATTACCGGGTAGCCCAATAACCGGCCGGGTACCCGTGCATCTCTCCTATAAAGTGAACTCACCCAACCTATACTATAAAATGGTCTACATGAATAGTGTCATGAAGATTAACTATTTAGTATTTTTTATTATCTACAGATAAATGATTCAAATATTCCTGTAACTTTATAGATCATATATAGTTGAGACATTTTAGAAAGATATAAGGGTACTTCAGAGATTGGTAAACATGTCTGTAAATCCCTTGTACTTGTTTTAATAATTCAGACTTACGAGTGTCACTGCATTTGTTTCTTACCAGTGCACACGATATCCGTCCTCCCACCCTGGCCTTCCAGCCTCGATACACTCTCTCTCTTGTAGCTCCTGTTGCTAAGACTCCTACCACCAACAAGAATACACAGACAACACCCATCACTCCTCCAATCACAACAAATATGACTCGAAGATCTGTCAATCTGAGAAAGATTTTTACTAAAATCAATAAGAATAATATAATCACCAGTTTTTTCCACCTGGTGCTTCATAAAAAAAAAGAAGTCAAAATGAGATTCAATTATATTTTATAGGAGGTCACCTTATTACCCATATTCTGTGTTTCATTAAATAAGTCAAACTCTGCTTGATAGGACAGATGTAACCACTAACAGTAAGTTTCAGTAAAGAAGAGAAATGTTAACTTTTGTACCAAACAACTTAATTTAAATATAATTCACTTTCAAAAATCAACTTGAATGAAAAGATCAATTAACGAACACTAAATCTGATTAATGATTTATTAGTCCTAGTTAACTTCTTTGTAACGTACACATGGAGATTAAACTACTCCTTTATTTGAGGATTGATAACTTGTCCGAGCTATTTAATATTGAAGATTCGTGTCTGACAATCAGTTATGCAGTACTTTCACAATCTATACACTAGACAAGTTCAGTTAAGAACTGCATAGATAATGTTCTTTTTTTTTTATCTTCTCAATCAATAAAAGACATTTGATAGACTATCTCATAAGAAAATATTTTTAATAGTTCCCATTATCGGGAGATTAATGTAAAATATCCACTTTCAACTCTATAAAGATAACACATTATGTACAGAATGTTTTGATAACAACTTACCTGAGATCACCACTTGTACTGTCGTCCAGCAAATTCAACGAAGAAGAGGACATATTAGAATAAAATTAGAAACTATATTTCTAATCTTATATACATTTGAAAAGAAAATGTAATACAACTTTTAAGGACCTATTACAGGATAATTAACAATTTAAAAATCCACCAAGGTCATCATAAATATTTCAATTAACGTAAATCATTCGTACAATTCAATTACAGACAAATTACTTCTGTACAGATTATATTCAGGCTTTCTGATGATACTGTGAAGTATTCCAAGTTCAATTGAAAAGTCAAGCCCTAATACAATGTTTTAAAAACTCAATTCTAAGTATGTAGTTTAAATCAACAAAAGATATGCAATGTATATGTGCTTACAGAAAATTTGAGAATAACAACTCAAATGATATACAATTTACTATTTTTACTTTAAAGTTCATTCTGAATTAGTTTATTTTTGTTTACATGTTTTCCATAAAATTAATTTGCTTTATTTACCCATGAAATCTGATGTGAAACAAATCTTCAAATATTTTTAAAGTTAATGCTGCTCCTCTGTACATAGACCCTAAAAAGAGCCCTGAGCCTGCAACACACATTACTGTAGCAATCAGAGTGGCATAAGGGATCCTGGACATACATCGTAAACATCCACCACAACAACCTGGAAGAGAAAACATAATAATGTAGTATATAAACAAGTACAAAATATGAAACAAAACTACAGGTTTAGTTGAACTAATAATAAGAAAATAGTTTAGGCTTAATGCACTTTTAAACATGTTATCCTCTAATCAGTCCCTTCACAACTTTTTCTGATAGAAAAGTATATAATATGATGTATTTTACTCAATACAGAGCTCATCAGCCCAGCTGGGACACAACAAACATACTATCCCATGTACTGAGTGAAACACATTGTCCATGGTGGATATAGCAGGCAGAGTGTGGATAATATATATATTCTTTTTATAGGAAAATCCCTATGAGTCTCAATAAATATAATAGTGTTAAAAGCATAAAATCCTAGTACTATTGTCCTATGGCAAATACACTTGATTATAATCATGTTTTATCACCAAAGATGTCCACACTTTTGTCATAATAATAGTCTAGACACCAAGTTGTGTCTTATAGTCCATACACTGAAGACTGTGGTTTTTTATAGATGTCATTAGTGGACACCACATTGTGTCTTGTAGTCCATACACTGAAGACTGTGGTTTTATAGATGTCAATAGTGGATCCCACATTGTGTCTTGTAGTCCATACACTGAAGACTATGGTTTTATAGATGTCATTAGTGGATCCCACGTTGTGTCTTGTAGTCCATACACTGAAGACTGTGGTTTTATAAATGTAAACGGTGGATTCCACATTGTGTGTTATAGTCCATACACTGAAGACTGTGGTTTTTATAGATGTCATTAGTGGACACCACATTGTGTCTTATAGTCCAACACTGAAGACTGTGGTTTTATAGATGTCAACAGTGGACACCACATTGTGTCTTATAGTCCATACACTGAAGACTGTGGTTTTATAGATGTAATTAGTGGATCCCACATTCACAGTCTTTAGTGTATGAACCATAAGATATAACGTGGAATCCACTGTTTACATTTATAAAACCACAGTCTTCAGTGTATGGACTACAAGACACAACGTGGGATCCACTAATGACATCTATAAAACCACAGTCTTCAGTGTATGGATTATAAGACACTTTTTACAAGTGTAAACAGTGGATTGTGAAGTTCAAGTTTTCTTCAAAAAATGTGTAATCAAACTGAGTTCTACTCACTTTGCTAAACAAGGAAGATGATGAAGTCATTTTCATGATCTTCATATCAGTTTCTGACACAAGAGTTTGGCAAATTGTTGTATTATCATCCTTGACTGGAAATAGTGTTTCTTGTCAAGCACGTACAAGGCAATAATATTTGGACTAACCACAGGATAAGAAATTCCTGAAAAGTAGCTAAAATGATACAGGGTATCAGAACTACAGATATGGGATATCAGGACTACAGCTCCTTAGAGCACTAGTGATGTGTGTATAATATCTGGACCACATTGATTTAACAAATAGTTGTGATAGATATCCTTGCAACTAACTTACTCTGTCTACTAAGATATTTATATGACTTACCACAGCAGTATTACAATTTCTGTAAATTGAGAGAACGTTAGATTTTGTTGTTTTAGGAACAACTGTGATCGAAAACTTTTCCTCCACTAATCTTACCTTTCAGAATGGTTACACTTACAGAACCTTTTTTTGTCTTCTCGTTCAGTTTCAGTCTTTTACTTTTCTACTACACATAGAGAATACGAATAAAGCATACAACACTCAGAGCATATGTAACAAACAAAGGGTTTTTATATAAAGAAACACGTTTTACGGCGACAATTTAATTATAGTTTATACCATTTCGTAGTTTTGGCCATTCTTTTCTTCATCTGTCAATGTGATGAGTATCACGTTTACAGTTATAGCTAATTGAGGGCAGTTATTCAGACACAAATATAGAAAACATATTGATTATCTACTATTATAGTTTAATGTGTGAACTGATTTACATACCAAAACACACTGACCATCTAATATTATAGAGTTAAATATGTGAACTGATTTACATACCAAAGTACCCGTTCCGGTAGTTCATTACCACCATTTTGGGGATCAAAGGATATGCGGTCCTCGTGTATGATGATGTCGATACCGACTAAGTCAAGAACGTCTTACGTCTAAAGGTCTGTGATTTGATCACACAGTTATCGAAGATCAAACAGACAGACTTTTAACTACCACAGATTAGCTGGAACTCTACAGCCTCGTATGCAAAACAAAACTGAAACTTGGATGTGTGTTTTTTTTGTGGATGCTAATTTCTGCCTGTTCGAAAAATACACTATAATATTGTCTTGGTTCTTGATAGTACATAAAATTTTCTGCTGTGAAGAACCTTTAAAAACTTTCACAGCTGTTTCAACCTGAAACGCAAGCTATTGACAGTTGGAGTGTATGCAGGTCGATTTCTGAGAATGGTGGATTTTACTGCATCTATACTGCAGCGGTTCATGACGAAAGAGTTCCTGGCGCCAAACAAATTAGATTTATTTTCAAGACCATACACCTGCATTACTCTCACCAACTGACAAAACACTGTTGACGAGTAAAGTATTACAGGAGAGTGTGTTTGAATAATAATAATACCGTTTTTCAAATGTATGTGTAAAAACAAGTGTAAATAGTAACTCGTGTATAATAATACATAATAAATATATTTTCAAATTTATAAAAAAAAACTTAATGATTTATAAAATAATAACCTATATCCTTTCAACAACATTGTACAGAACACCAACTCGAGAGAGTTCTGACTTATAACACACACACACATTTTATAGCCATCAGGTTGGGAGAGTTTTGACTTATAACACAGACACCAGGTCTGGAGACTTATGACTTATAATATAGACGAATTCCCATAGTGCCCCTTCATATCCCATTTATTAAAGCTATCTAGTGGGCCTTCCTTCATAAATCAGGGTCTGCGGGGTCAATTGCTACGCACCTGCAGATATACATTTTACAGCCACCAGGTCGGAAGAATTGTGTTCTAAAGAACTTTAATAAAATAATATTGCCAAAAGCTTTCAATGAAATGTAAGTGTCAAATACCCCTCGTCTAAAACATCACATTGACTTTTATACTATTAATTTTTCCCCGTGTTTCAATAATTTAAAATTAAAGATTTTAAACATTTTCGTACCTTTACGTGTAAAGTTTAATATTATGAATAACTTTGCAGAAATCTGGAACAACAGAGGTCAAAGGGTTATTCTTATACAACAATCGTTTATTGCATGCTAATTGTATCCCTTATTTATGTTGTCTAATGTTCATCTACTCATTACAGACACGAAAAAAAAATGTTTTGTTTGAGAAAATTTAACCAAAGCTTCAGTTTTGGGGTCTCTCGTATTTAAGTTAGGCTTAAAATATATAGCACATTTTAAATATATACAATTATACAAACAAAATTATATAATGACGGAAAACATGTGAAACTGGGAATTATTCTGCATTCATGAAGGCGATTTTCTGTGATATTGTCGAAAAAAGAATTAAACACATTCTAGATTTAGAATTTTTCAAATTGGTGACTTGTCTGGGGTTTTCCGATTAGACACAGCATTACTCAACATAATCAATAACAGACCGCATTAGATCTACAGGAAAATGGGAATATTCTAAAATTTAAATTATTAGAAATAACTGACATTCCAACTGGAACTGATCTCTTGCCTCGAATTTAACAATTAACATAAAGTACGTGAAATTATATAAATATGTATTTAAAAAACGTAAAAACAGTTTTCGAAAATATTTCACACTAATTGAGTAAGTCTTTGTATTCTGATCTAATTAATCCTAATTTCATCACCTTATCATACTTGAAAAAGGTGAATTTAGAATACCCCATCAACGTTATTCTATAAATATGTTGTTGGTTTTTGCACAAAGCTTCACAATGAGTTATTTGTGCTCTGTCCATCGCGGGGAATCAAGCCCAGGATTTTAGTATTGAAAATTCGTAAATTACAGCGGAACCACAGAGAGGCTTAGAAATCTGTATTCAGTATTTACATAAATAAAATATTATATTAAAAATGTGTTCCATAATAAAAAAAAAAGTAATATTTAAAATTATTTTATATTGATATTAATACTACCAAAATATGCTATAATACTTCAAGCAAATCAACCACGAAATAATTCAATTATAGATGCATTAATTGTTATTTAAAAAACCACATTTTAATATTCATTTTGCTAAAGAAATCTTATTATACTGTAAAAATTTATAGGAAAAAAAATTCTTAAATGTTTACAATATTTATTCTGAACCCCCCAGTGGCACAGCGGTATGTCTGCGGATTTACAACGCAAGAATCCGGGTTTCGATACCCGTGATGGGCAGAGCACAGATAGCCCATTGTGTAGTTTTGTGCTTAATTACAAACAAACAAACAATTTATTCTGAAAGCTTGAGGGTTTGAAAATGACTTTCAGTTTTCCATTTTGTGCTAATCTACTTTTTTTAGACAACTATCATCGGAATAATGTTTAATTAATACATCAAGTTTACATGACTGATGTACTGAAAAATATCCATAGTCTTGTAGCCCCGATCTGGGCTTATCAACTTAAAAGTATTGGTTACATGAGATCTTATTATTGAATTTTTAATTATTACAATTTTATCCAAATACGTGGACCATGCTTTACAATATTGTTTAGGGGATAACCTGTATCGAATTACAGATTATAAGATGGACAAATAACCCATTCAAGGTATGTGTTTGTATAGGTAAAAGTATATTTCATTTGTAATGAATGACACTCTATATTTTACTTTATTACGTAAGTTGTTTATATGGTCTGTCTATGTACAGTTAGCCCAAGATTATATGTATAAATTCAATGTTGGACGTTCACAATAATAACTGATAGTAGAATGTTTGAGTCAAACAATATCAACAGTTTGAAATTTCAATAAATCGTTTATTAGGTGTATGGAAGAATTAACAACTAATTCTAATATTATTTAAACATATTTCTTTATTAAAGGATCATATGTTAATTGCATTCAAATCGGACTAAATTTTTAAAAGTTCCATAGCACAATTGTAAATCTCACGGACGTCTCCATATAAGTATAATTATTTAATTTAATGTACAAGAAAGAGTAAGGGGCCTGAACCATCAGAAGTATAACTTCTAACACTTGGCTTAACGTGCTGGACTATAGAATTCTAGTTACAGAGTTCACGTCCCGTTACCACCACCACATAAAGAATACAAAATTCGCATCAACAGTAGCTTAAAAGTTAGCGGTGGGTGCTATATATTGATTGGCTACCTTTCATCTAATGTATTGGTTCAAAATTAGGGTCAGCGCAGTTAACATATCAGTAGCTTTGCGTGAATATACTAAAACAGACTAAACTGAATTTATTACAGGAAACAAGCTTATGAGAAAAATATTTCAATCTTTTCGCGTGTCCTTTCACTTTCCTTTTTTTCTCCCTCCGGTTGCTCACTGGTAAGTCCGGGGACTTATAATGCTAGACATTGAGTTTTGATACCCGCACTGGGCAAAGTACAGATATCCCCAAATGTATGGTTTGTTTGTTGTTAAGCACATGGCGACACAATGGGCTATCTGTGCTCTGCCCACCACGAGTATCGAAACCTGATTCTTAGCGTGGTAAGCCTGTAGACTTACCGCTGAGCCACTGGGGGCCCCATCGTGTAGCTTTGCGCTTAACAACATACAAACAAATGTAAAAATAAAGCACATATTATTTTATCGACATTTAAACAATAATTAATATAATAAAAATGATTTTCAAGTAATGATATTTTGTTGAAATCCCTACTGATTTTTAGCAAGAATGTTCTTTTTTCCCCTGAAATTAATTAAAATATTGGCCTCATACTTCTCCCATTATCTTGTCTATATCTGACAAAACTCGCCATTGGTCAGTAATTAACATAATCTTTATATTCTTCTTCTTACTCTACTTGTTGTAGGTATACTAATGTAGCTTTTAAATTTATCAATATTTCATGCGTGAGATAATGTAAAATTACAATTTTTCAAGCCACAAATGCTTGTATAGAGGGTTGAGTATGTTATATTAAAACGATTTTTAATATGAAATAAACAAGTCCCATAACAATTGCAACATATGTAATGTCACCGTGGAACGGAATGTATCAAAACTACATTTTTAATATTGTTTGGCGGATCGTACGCAGGAAATTTTAGACCACCGATACTTGATAAATTTTAGCAAGTGTGTATAACAGCAATTTCCAACTCAAAATATTCATACACTCAGGTCATAAAAAAGTTTTCATATGAGAGTTTAGAATGTCTTGGTCGTGAATATCAGTTGTTCTTCATGGTACTGGAAAATTAATGAATATGGACCAACTTGGGGCACTAAGACCGTCCAGAAAAAGACCTGCGATATGTCGTATCCCAGCCATGGTAAGCAAAGTGTGACGTCTTATAAAAACTAGAATCCAGGAGCTCAAAGGTGATCTTGGATGAATCACTCCTGAAGCTACAACATTCATAGTTTATTTAATAGTGAAGAGATACAAATAAAAGCATTTGAAAGATGCTTTCTGCAACTGTGGTTTCATCTCTCAGATGAAACTGATTTCACGTAAGAGTGGGTCCCCAGATAAGACAGCGGTAAGTCTACGAATTTACAATTCTAAAATCAGTGGTTCGATTCCTCTCAGTGGACATGGAAGATAGCTCGATGTGGCTTTACTATGAAAACTACACACACGTGCACCTAAGAATGATAAGATAGGCCTGCAGAATAATGGGAGGTTCGTCAAGATATTTATTGTGAAATAATTCTGAGTTCTCTGAGCTCCCGAGAAAGAAATAAAGATACACAATTGTACCAAAACACAATGAACAATCTTTATTATACAAATGTAATACAAACACAGTATATGTTTGTTTATGTAACACATCAGACAGTTACCTTTTACTGGAGAGTTAAAATAGAAAATACAAATACTTAAAGTAATCAAAACAAACCCAAACTGCCTTGAAACTCAGAGCTTGATACAATCCAAATTAAATTAAAACAAATTTTACTAAAAGCAAACGTTAAACCAAAATGCTACAAAATGTAAGTTATTTTAATTTAGGCAAAAGTCATTTGAATAAATAAAATCCTAATAGCTCACTCTAAGGAGTAAACCCGTCTCTATATTCTAAAATACAACAACATTACTCAAAGACAGAATTGCGATCTACTCCACTTTGCACACACCTCTTTAATCTACTACAGTCTGAGGTGCAAAGGGTATGGCTGCCCTAATCCATTATCCAATTCACTGAAAAAAAGATCAACCATATATCTCACAATATTACAAGTTATCTTTCCTGTAGGTGAATTCAAATCCCAAGCGCACTAGAGAAAAGAAAAATTGAGTGGCTTCTTTGAGCAACTCTCTGACCCAAACTAAACTAAAATAAAAAATACAAAACTCTGAAAAATATACATAGTGTTACGACAGCGGAAGTCACGTGACTCTGGTAACATGTGATGAGTTTCTAGAAGGATCGGGGAACATCATGAACAATCCAGTATTTGCTAGGCGCCCTCTATTTTAGTATATAAGCCGGCAAATAAAGTGACGGCAATAATTGAATTGCAGACAGAGAGATATAGAGACAGATAATCGAGTCAAGCCGTAAGTAAAGTGCGTGAATCATTATGAATTCTAGCATGTGTTTAAGTTACAAACGAACAGAGACGTAACAATATTAATTAAAAGAGGGCTAGCATACAGTGCAATCCTGTACTATACTACACTATATTTTCGAAAAGCTCGGTTAACTGCCAATCAGTGAACTCACGTCTTGTAAACACTAAAACAAAGAGAGAGTCGATATGTCTACTTGAGCAAATTTTTGTGTCAAAACTGGAAATTATCAAACGAACAGAGACGTAACACAGTGTTAGATATAACGTAAAAAACTGAGATTTTGTACGTTATTTAAATATATATTTTTTTACAAAAGAAATAAACCATTATCTATTTTAGTAATGACAAACAAAAACACTGTCTTAAAATGATATATCTTTCGGGTGAGTGTTGTTGTTTTTCTGAGGTAAAACGTTTTACATTTGAAATAAATTTTCTTTCACTAACCATTCAAGGCGCCTCCAAAGATATTTTATGAAAAGTATGTATCTCGTCATGAAATTTTAATATATGTTGTAAAAAGCTTCTTCATAATGGCCACCTACCGTCTATTTTTAAAAACACTTTTAGATAGGTATACCAACATCGGGAGAAATATACATATGTTTTCGATACGAAGGAACTAAAAGAGGTTGTGAATTATCACAGTATAAAGAAGTTAAAAGGTAATTTAAGTCATTAAATTTAAATGTTACTGTTAAACTCTAGTGTAGTACTAGTAGTACCGTTATCAACAGCAGAATTTCTGTGTTAGCTCTCAGTTTTAATTTAAGTTTAATAATGGTTGGAGACGGCTTGAATGGGTAATGAAGAAAAACTGGGATATTTATAATTCTTTATTTTAAAAATTAATTTATTAGGAAGCTTAAAAAACACTATAATTAACATACGCCTCCTAGACTATGGACTCGTAACACCGCAATTTGCGTGATATTAAACTTATATTACACTGCTACATTAGAATTATAAATGTTTAGACTGCTACATTAGAATAACAAATGTTTAGACTGCTACATTAGAATAACAAATGTTTAGACTGCTACATTACATTATAAATGTTTAGATTGGTACAATAGAATTTTAAATGTTTAGACTGCTACATTAGAATTATAAATGTTTTGACTGCTACATTAGAATTATAAATGTTTAGATTGGTACATTAGAATTACAAATGTTTACACTGCTACATTACAATTATAAATGTTTAGACTGCTACATTAGAATTATAAATGTTTAAACTGCTACATTATAATAACAAATGTTTAATGAGTAATTTTGCATAACTGTGTAGTGTTACCGTTACAACAAGTTTAATCAGTCTTTGTTCTAATAAAGTATAAAATAGCTTAAATTAATTTCGCTATTAAATAACTAAAATGTTCAAAACATATCATAAAGTATCAAACTAAACATTTGTAATTCTAATGTAGCAGTCTAAACATTTGTAATTCTAATGTAGCAGTCTAAACATTTGTAATTCTAATGTAGCAGTCTAAACATTTGTAATTCTAATGTAGCAGTCTAAACATTTGTAATTCTAATGTAGCAGTCTAAACATTTGTAATTCTAATGTAGCAGTCTAAACATTTGTAATTCTAATGTATACCACATAGTATCTTTTCCAACATTTATTTCACCTAGCTTTTATAAATAACATTGTACTTACAGCATATAAAACATATTGTTCTTTTGGTTTACAAAGGGTAGTTAACTGTATGCGAAGTAGAAGTTATCAGATAAATAAGATGCTTCAAGTAATACAAGTCCAATAGATAATGTAACACTCATAACACAAACTTAAAACATATATACTTCCCTGACAGTAATTCTAATAGTAATGTTATAAAAATTTATCTTGAAGTTCTATCTAATGCTTCAAATAAAAAAAACGTTCAACAAGGTAAAAAAGCAGAAATGAATTACTAAGAAATGCTTCAAAAATGATTGTTTTTGTTAGAACGTAAAAGAAGTACAAGTGTTTAAATGTCAGGATCATGGATAATCTGCATATAAATAATCTATCTGAGTGGTAAGGAGGTTGGAAGTAAGGGTAACAAGTAGAAGCTATGGAATCCTAGGTTTAGATTGTTCTTCAGCAAAGTAATATTTGTATTAGAATTACAAATGTTTAGACTGCTACATTAGAATTATAAATGTTTAGACTGCTAAATTTCATGCATCATTATGCTCCATTTCATTCATCATTGGCATGTTCAAGTTTCTTGTTAGCTTCAGAATGAAACTGAAAACAGTGCTGAACTAGAACACCAGCAAGTATTGCTGATTTTTAGTGGTTTCAAGTAGTAAGTGTAAGCCTATTTACTACTCATCAGAATTTTTAGTGGTGGTGTTTTAGAGCTTAATGATAGCTTGGAATTAAAGCTGCGTATATCCAGAGTACATCAGTTGATGGAAAAGTATAATGTTTATACACATATTTGACTCTGTGATTTAGTTATATTAGTAGAAATTGTAGTTCTAACTGAACAGATGATAAAAACAAATTTTGTGTGTAAATGACTAAGTTGCTGGCCTAGTAATATTATCTTATTCTGATGTTTTTCACAAAGGAAAGAAATGTTTTGATGGATTTTCTTTGTTCAACTAATCTTTGATGCTGCAACATTTTGGAGCCAATCAGTACTAATAAATAAATCACTGAGTGAGTGAAATACACAAGATACATTTTATTGTTTACTTTACTACTGAAAGAATGAATTAATAAGGATTTCAACTAAAATAAACACAAAACATTTAACTGCTTTGCATTGTTTTTTAAAATCTGAAGCTTTGTATTTGTATGAAAATGATAAAGCAAAATTGAACTTATTTTTCAGTGAAATGTTTTATTGTAATATGAAACAAACAAGCAAGAACATATGGCATTCACATGGTAGTAGTTGATAGTGCAGCTTTAACTTGTGAAGATGTACAAGTATGATAAGTACATATCATGTATATCTTAAGCAACCTGAGTGTGTGCCACGTGTTGGGTGGTTATCAAAGAGCTTGAACATGTAAAGTTACATCTTGCCAGTAATTGTTTAATTTTATACGCTTGGTCAAAGTTAGTGTTTCTTAATTTTCTGTGTTCTGTTGTAATGTATTCTACATTCCTAACTTCGGGACTACCATCTAACAATTAAGAACATTAGCAATAACATCCTTTTATATTAATAGCCTCATTTGTGCTTCAAGTTCAGGGCTAATGGTGGTGGGAAAAGACAAAAGATGAGTAACATACCAGCTGATATTGAAGAGGCTGTGAGTACAGCCGTTGATAGACTGAGTGGCTCCATTTCAAGGAATGTACCTGTAAGTACATTGTGAGAATACCTCAATCAGCATGTAGCTTGGACAAAGCATGCCAAAGTAGTTTCGTGTTCATCAGTTAGATGCATGGAAACAAAGCATGCTTGGATGATTCTCATAAACTGAACTTCACAACATATTGATTCAGTATTAACAATAGTGCATATGTAGATTTTAATATGCCTTTTAATCAACAAATATGCTGTGTATTCATAGGTTTTTAAATAATGTTGTTTAATGAAATATTAAATTACTTAAATCATACAATTGTCGAGCCCTTTCATGTTTTTTGTTTAGATCACTGATATTTCAGCTGATTTAAGGATGTGTAGAATACTTACTTCTTTAATCTTGCATGCCTCTTAGAAATAATTGACTTCATACAAACCACGGGTAGGTTTGATAATGCTAGCATGCTACCTGTATTCAAATGAGACTCTTGTCAATCGTTCCTTTAACTTAGCAGGCATTAATTTCTTCTTTAAACTTGAATGTATGAAAGTTAAAAAAATTGACTTTTGGGTTATCTTAAATGTGGAGAGTGATTCTGAATTGAATAACTTAAGTGAAGTTTCCTAGTGCGGACAAAGTTGGTAAAAATAGAAACAATCTTTATTATTTCACAAACAAAAAGAAAATGCAGCTTAAGTACTCATGCACACAAGAATATAGTCGCTTCTACTTGTTTGTGCTTAATCCCACGGCTTTCTCTCTCTGGATTGATATCTTTAGAACCAAACATGATGACCTTGATGAAAGTCTACTTGGGCTCCTAGTAGAACTGGCTTAAGAAAGAAAGTCTACTTGGGCTCTTAGTAGAACTGGCTTAAGAAAGAAAGTCTACTTGGGCTCCTAGTAGAACTGGCTTAAGAAAGAAAGCCTACTTGATTTTCTAGTAGAACTGGCTTAAGAAAGAAAGTCTATTTGATCTCCTAGTGGAACTGGCTTAAGAAAGAAAGTCTATTTGCTCTCCTAGTGGAACTGGCTTAAGAAAGAAAGTCTACTTGATTTCCTAGTGGAACTGGCTTAAGAAAGAAAGTATTTGATCTCCTAGTAGAACTGGCTTAAGAAAGAAAGTCTATTTGATCTCCTAGTAGAAGTGGCTTAAGAAAGAAAGTCTATTTGATCTCCTAGTAGAACTGGCTTAAGAAAGAAAGTCTATTTGATCTCCTAGTAGAACTGGCTTAAGAAAGAAAGTCTATTTGATCTCC